TGAGCCCTGCCGATGAGCGGGCCCAGGCCTGTCTCTGGCACTCTTCCCCCAACTCGAGCGCCTTCCATTCCACTATGGAGCTGGAAGGCTTTCTGGGACATCCAGCTGAATCTCTAGGCCCGGGGCCCAGCTATCACTCAGACCTGTGGCCCAGCTCCCCATCAACAAGACAGGCTAAGGAGATACTCAGTAGTGGCTTTTGTGAGAGTAGTCACCCCGTCTGTTCTGGGATGGGGGGTGGCAGCAGTCTAGGCCGGTAATCCTGCACAGCTGCTCCTAAATCACATATGGTATGGCTGTCGTGCGTCTCAGTTGTGTCTGTGCGTGTAAGGACCCAAGCTTTGGTGTACGACAGTGCGACTGCCTGCGTGTGGGCACACCAGTGCAGTTTTAAACAAACGATTTGATCCCTTTTTCCACGGATCCCCGTTTGAGCGACGTTGTGTTTTCGTGTCTGTAAATGACTAAATGTTAACACGTGAGTCACGCCTACTTTCCATTTTTGTCACTCTCCAGAGATGCAGCTTTGTCTCTCAACGTTGTGCAGTTGCGGTGTTGAGCCTGATAAGGAAATGTTTAGCCAATTTAACCAGACTGTTGAAACGAGTTGGAATCCTCACCAGACCGCTGGAGCATATCGGATTCGTGGTGAAAAGCAGGACTGTTGGCAGAGAGGCTAGGCTAGCTGAAGTATATTTAGAATAATCAGCTCTGCTCTTGTGAGGCAGTCATGTGTTTAAAAAAAATGGTGTGTGTGCTGTAAGTGTAGTTGTTTGTCATTTTTAAGTCCTGTCGTCCTGAAGGCTTCTTCACGTGCATACGTGTGCGCTGATAGCAGTGGACATGACTTTGTATAAAATGAGGTAGATTAACCTGGTCAGGCCTGTGGCTTTTGTAACAGTGTTATGTTTTTCGTGCTGATGTAGCTATGCTATCCTTTTTCTTTAGATCCACGAACGTCTGCAGCACTATGAAGAAACCAAACCCGTCCCTGTCCTGGACAACGCTGCAAGTCTGGCCCATAACGTAAGAATTACATCCATTTTACATACTTTTTTATTTGATTGTCTCTGTTTAACTCAAAAGCCTTGTTGGTCCATACTGATAAATGTACAACAACAAAGGGGAAAAGCTAAGATCAGAATAAACATAGTGGCTAATACAATGACGACACCATTAATCACTGTAGTCTTCACTGCCACTGCAACTGTAAAGAACAAAATGTGCTAGCCCTGTGACTGTCCACAGTCCTTGAGACTGACGAACATTGCACATGTGGAAATTATTCTATTTGGAAAATCAGTATGAAACTGATTAGGACACGTGGTTTGGAAAGAAAACAATAACAGTAATGACTAACTCCTGTCTGACCTTAGCTATTTGGATGTGATGTTGCTGTGATGCAGCTTATTAAACTAAAGATGAAGGACATAGTTCAAGATTCTGATCTTCGAACTTAATGTTTCATGACTTTTTAATCACGAGCAGTGCAGCGTCTAGGAAAAAGACTAGGTTAGAAATGGTGTTTGGTCAGATGACCCATTGTTTATGTGGCCGTCGATGGTCGTTTGTAGTCAAATTTGGGATGCTAGAGAAACTGGCTAGTTAATCTCACTTTCCGTTTTATCCTCGAAATAGCTAATAAAAACAGAAAAAATGGCCATTTAAAAAAAAAATATATATAAACATGTCAAATATATGCTCTGCAGTGTGTACTGTAACTATACTCCATGTCAAATGGCCTGCCAATCACCCCCACACCTGTTGTAAGGAGACCAAACCCACCCCTACCTCCCACTCTGACACATGCTTTTGGCCTTAAACTTCAAACCATGCACCGAGAAATCAAGAACCCGGCTTGAGGAAGGCTAACTGTGATCGTTTGCCTAGGGCAGGGTCCGGATGGAGGAACCGCTCCTTCATAGCGACTCATAGAGATGGATGGGCATGCGTTGATGACAGAAGCAGACAAACTCTACGTGATTGAGTTCCATCGTGTATACAGAAGTCAGTGAAGGAGGAGGAGATCGCACGAACGCTCAGAGTTTTGGAATATCACTAGCGCCGCTGCATCGTATGTTGCGTGCAGCACTCGGAAGCCGACGCTCAGACACCAGTGGTGTCCAATGTGACCGCTGATGATCATTTTCCCACACTGGTCCAGCTGTTCCCCTTAAGCTGTGTGAAATATTCAGTATGATTTATAACACGAATGTCCAGCGTGCTGACATTTGTTATGGTGTTGTTCATCTGTGATATTTATCTACATATATGGGCCCACTCGCACAGAGACACGCACACACACCTGTGTAAACCCAAGGAGCAGCCTGGCATGGTGAATGGAGACAAGGGAAAGCCCTTCTACTGGTGTGTGGTTTTGTTTGAAATCCTCAGCTCTGTTTATTGTAATCAAAGTGCCTTTGACTATTCCACCCCTCCTTGAGAGCCCGCAGCCATACATCATTCTAATTAGTACTGAGTCAAGAACGAGGGGCTGAGGTTCTTACAGTCGTTTGGGGTGAAGTCAGAGGAAGAGAGAGTCCAGAGTGTCCCGACTCTGTCAGGAAAGAAAGTCCGTCTTGTGGTCTAGAGTGGTTTTCCGGACTGTGCAGGCCACATGTGCCGGCGCAGGAGCCAGAGTGATCATGCTGAGAGGTTCATACTCACGGTTACAGAAGACAGAAGTCCCAGTTCAGCCTGCACCCTTTACCGAGAGATTTATAAGACTGTATTTTGTTTAAGAAAAAAGAAAAGTGATTTACTTCTTCTTTCTGTGTTTGTTCTCTCCTGCTGCGACTACCGACTGAGGACAAAACAGCTGACACTAGAACTGCACTGAGAAGGGTTGCTCCTGTTTGTCTTGCCACACTTGACCTGCACTTGAAGTTTGTGGCAACAGTCTCCAGGCCATTAAAGAACCCCCAACAATCAGCCTCTATTTCCTTCCCCCTTAGAGATTTTCTCTCTCCTCCTTTTTGTCAAATTACAGACTTTCAAATTTATCCTTCCTGGTAAATGCCCCGCAAAGTGTCTCCCAGGGATTATCAGGTATCAGAATAAAGCCCGGAGATGGTGTATCAAAGCCTCTCAGAGCTCGGTGCAATCCAGAGTCTCTCTCTTTGTTGGTCAGTCAAAAAATAAACTCAACTTAGACCTAGCTTTGCAGTGTATTTTCAATACAGATTGTTTTCCACTTGTGTCACTGGTCCAAATGAAGATGCTTGAAGTGGTGTCTGAGGACCGCAGCGCTACGGTGGAGAGCTACAGCGAGATTCGATTCTTTTTGTTCTCGGGTTACGCGTAATGGAGGCTTAATTTATTGCTTGAAATAAAATGGCACTTCAACTGTGCTCTGCCCTTGGCTGCACTGTCTAGCTCACTCCACAGGTGACTGCCACTGCTCAGGCTAACTGCCACTGCTAATGCAGCCTGAAAAATGATCGATACTGGTTACAGGCAAGTGGTGCAGTATTACATTCTTTCTAGGACAGAGCGAGTACACACACACACACACTAGTGTTCGTGGATGCACAAAAAGTAGCCTTCCCTTCCCTCATTAAAAGTGAAATAGAGACCTATTTGCCCTGAAGTGTAATGCAGGACACTGTGGACTGTTTATCATAAGGGCAAATCCATCTCACACATGTGCCATTTCACATCAGCGTCAGGCGCAGCACCGGTACCTTGTTCCAGATCACTGTCCATAAACTCCCTTGTCATACTCTACTCACATTTTCTACCTCTACTATGTAGTAACCAAAACAGCTGCTGTTACAGTGGAGGACCACTGGGTGCCACTAGATAGCACTGGTCCTGAGTCCTAAGGATACAGCCAATGTGGAAAAGACAGTTTTTCTTGTATAGTTGTGAGGAGACCCATGGAGTAATATGTCTTTCCTGACACCTTGCCCTAACTTTAAACATTTTACCCCAGCAACCCCTCTCACACATACACTCTCAAACTTCACACATAGACATTTCTGTTACACTTGGAAGGAAGCCGCTTTTAAAATAACATGATTCTACTGATGCCGGCCCTCTTTAAATATGATTATTTGCAAGGGAAACATTCCGTGTAATCTCCGTTTTCATTAGTGTTTTTCTTGTAGGAGAGTAAAGGCCAGCGTTTGCACCGTTACACTCCAAAACTTTTATTGAAATCATTAAAAAAAATGAGAGGAGCATCGTTTGTCGTTGAGTAGAATCACACCACATTCCATGTAAATACGAATTCTTGAGACATAGAATCACACCACATTCCATGTAAATATGAATTTATTGTAAATTTTATTGTAATTTCCCTTTTTATTTTGATAGCCTTCAAAATAAATCAAGAAACGGTGCATTATGTCATCTATAAAACTGATCCTGGCCGCCTTTGGTAACTAAAAGTGAACATGTATTTACGCCTTTGGTAACTAAAAGTGAACATGTTTTGGTAGCTTATTTATATATGTATTTAAAAAAGGGTCACGTCGATGAATTTACGGTTGCCTTTTAGGGCAGTGAGCTGTGTGCATTCTGGGACTCACTGTCTGTGACGTCTGGGGATGGAAAATATGATCCTTACAGGGAGACGCAAAGGTACGAAAGCAGTGTGGAGTCAATAGTGTCCCATCTGTCGTTCCTCCTGAGTTATGGCACAAGGTGTTTTAATAGGACAATACCAGGGAGAAGTAATGGTGTGTTCTTTGCCTTCCTCCCCTGCTGCAAACACTGTGGTGATGGAATGATAGATGTGATGCACCGGGACCAGAAATGCTCCCTCACTAAACGCCGTGACCTGAAAGAGCCGGGTCTCTCCTCCTCCTGACCCAGCTCTTCCAGGTTTATTTTCCTTAAGTACATTTAATAAAGTGAGCTAATGCAGGGTTGAACGGAGGGTACGTTAAGTAACCTTGACCACCTCGGCTATTCATTTTCCACCTTTTCTTGTTATTCGCTCTTTCTATCCTAAAGGGAAACAAATTGAAATATGAATGACGGTGCATACACAAACACCAGTGAATGTTCCCGTCTGAAGGTAATAAAGTGACGCCGTGAACTCTCTCACCCCGCTCTGACCCTCAGGCCCAGCCTTTGCTACCGCCTCGCCTCCGTTGCCTTATTCCCTTACCACAGGCATAATCACTCACACGACCGTGGGTTTTTTCCGACCTACGCGTATGTCGTCATCCACTGCTGCATCATGGATGTGGGACAATACTGTTAATCAGAAGCCTATCTGTCCTCTGATCACACGCTCCTACAGTATATGTTGTTCATGGAGAGTGCTGTAGGTTCTCAGTCAAGTGTCTCCGTTTATCTGTTCTGAAGAACTGAGGCAACCTCATGAATGAAGCAGGTGAAAGGTCAACAATCAGATGGTCAAGTTGTCTTTACTAGTGTGTAGGAACGTTGAACCAATAATTTTAGTATGCATTTAAAAAAAAAAAGCTTCATGTTAAATGACTTCATGTAATAATGTACAGGAGACAAAACCACCAAGGAAACAGGTTTATGATTTTCTAAGTGCTCCCTGTTTACGTTGCCGTATACCCTCAAATACATCCACCTTTTTATGTGACTTCCACTCCTGTCCTGTGTTGACTTGGGCTCCGGATTTTGGCGGAGCACAAGCAAGTCTTTGTGTGGGACGCTGCTCGTCTCTACAGCAGCTCCATATCCAGAAGGATCATCTATAAATCAGAACACAGACAGAGGAACGTGGCCTGAGCTGCAGACGCAAGTCACACAGACATTCATCACGATTGTATCTCGAGTTCAAAGCTCACGTTGTTTTTGACAGGAACTCATTTGTTGGTGTTGGTGTTGTTGTCGGTGGTAATGATTACTGTATTTTTCAGTTATTTCGCTGTTTAGTGCTAATTCAAAACATAAGGAATCGATATGTCATCACTTAGCAAATGCATGAACAGTTATTACAAAAAATAGGCTAATTTTAACTTCATTATTTCATATATTTCCTCTTGCCTTTAATAGCATTTTTGTCTCTCTTTTCATCCTCAGTTGTGCGAGGAGCTGGAAGGACGACCAGGAAGTGGGGAAATTAGAGAGCTTCTCAAACTACTGTCCAAACCCCACGTCAAGGTGAGTTTGGCTCTCAAATCTTTTGGTTTAATAATTATTATTCATGCTTAAAAAACTACAATTTATTTCATTCATATATTCAATTTACCGATTTTTTTTGTTAATATATTTGGTAATGTAAGTATTATTCTACACACAAGTATTTCAATACAGTTGTTGGGTCACCTGTTGTTCCAAAAAAACACCTTTTTGTTGATAAAGTTATGAAATAAAAAAAACACACATTTAACACAAGTTTATAGATACTTGGGAGTATTTGAGGCCATCGTACCTTATCAGCAGCCGGCCCACACAGGTCTGCACAGAAATACTGCATAAATGCAGTTACACACTTGAACACAGTCACACAGCCGCTGTGTGTGAAGACAAATGGTCAACATTATTCACACTCCTGCTCTCCTTCTTAATTACGCAGAGACTTTGCGACCTGCTTTGTCTTTGTCAGACCTGGAAAACAAATGCCGGGTCAGACGATTACCGCATGAACCATGTCAGTGTCAGAAATACAACATTTGTTACCATTGGTTGTGCTTACAGTGGAAGTATTTGGCATGACGAAAAGGTCAATCCATCAAAGGGAAAAGCTTGGGAAAGTCACTTTGTGAAAAGTTGGTATTGATGAGTTGTGTAGAAGTAATGGCTGAGTAAGTCAGGAGACAGATGCGTATGGACACACATATGTATTTATACTGTATAAATACATATACAGATATATGTGTATATATTTATATGTACTATGTATACACAGACATATACACACACATACTGTATATACGTTTATATGTTATATATTTATTTATATATGATACATACATGTACAAAACCATGATTAACCATTAATTTGAAATGTAGCTTATATTTAAATTTTTAAGATTAATAACCTTGTTCATTTTCATCCGTCTCACATAAATCCTAATTTCGACCGTTGACAGTGATGTAATAATATCATTGTCATGGCTGTTCAGAGGCCTTCACATGTGTCTTCACATGTTTTAGTGATTAAAATCGGACACTCTTTAAATCTGGCCTCCGTCGAGCGTCTGTTCTAACTGCTCCAATCTGACTTTTCATTGGCTGTCTGTCTTGAAGGTCATCATTTGACGCTTAGGATTTTGTTTAGGAACGTAAAGTAAAACTTGTGTCCGTCCGTCCATATTGTCATTGATGCTTTAATCTGGCTGTCTCAGTGGACTTGCAGGTTGTAGACAGTTGGTCTGTTCGTTGTTATAGGTCCAAAACTACTTATCACTGTGTGTGTGTGTTTCAGTCTGGGAAGGACTTCAGATGCAGTCATTTTTCAGACTCTATTATTTGTTGACGGCCTTCCAGATGTGAAGTGAAAAAATAAGATAAACATTGTTTGAGAAACAAATTGGAGAGCTAACCGTGATAGTTAGTAGGGGGTAGTCAGACTGAATTACGAAAACACGCTCTTTCATAAATCCCTCTAAAATTTATATCTTCTCTCAGTTACTTTGCGTGTCACTCAGCTGACCTCAGCTCCGGTTCATAACGAGGTCAGCCAGACTACTGTACAACAGACAATGGAAAGTATTAAGCTACTGTGTTTGCTGGCCCTGCACCTCAGCACATAACGTAAGCATAGGAGCTGAGGACAGGAACCGGCTCACCCAAGCTTCACGCAGTCATCGTCCAAGGCGAGACTCTAAGATAAAATATGAAAAGCGGTCGGCGCTCTCAAAGATTCCATGTCTAGCGTCCTGCTGCTGACCTGTATTATAGGAGAAGGAGTAGCAACAGCAGTGCTGCAGTGGTAGGATTGATGCCTTTCAAACAGGAGCTCCAGGTTCCATCCCACTCCCAGCTCCTGACCCTTGTGGAAAGAGTTGCATCAGTAGGAGAATCTGGCGCTACATTGTGCCGAAACTCTAGGAGGACTACGGAAGTGGAGTAAGAAAAAAAAAAAAGAAAACAAAAAAACAAGACGATTTAGTAAAAAATATGCTTCACTAAAGAATGTTTGTGTAAAATGCTCAAGTTATTCATTCGACATCTGCATAGTTGATTTTTTTTTTTTTTACTCTGGCTCATGGTCGACGTCCATCATCAGGTTCTGCGCATGTGGATCTTAAACCACAGAGCTAAATTCTCCTGATGCCTACAAAGGAAACACTAGGTAAACAATAGAACAGATCCAGGATCCTGGTTTGGATATTTTTTTATTATACCACAATGAGGTATGGAGGTTTTTTTTTTTTTTTGCCATTTTCTTGTCATTGTGTCTGAAAGTATAGGCAGTATGTGGGCACCAAAACATTTCTGTCTCTCTGGCTGCGTCTTGACATCCAGGGCACTTGACACCATGGCAGCCAGGCCTAATGTAAATCACAGGGTCGCTGGTGTAAAACACATGCAGATGGCCGCTGCCTTTGAATGGCGCCTCTGTGCAACAGTAACTGTATCACTCTTAATTATGGTTGAAATGATCCATTTCTTGGGTGGGGATATAAATCAGGTTGTTAAAAAATCTCCTTCCTTCCTTTATCTCGAATTCCTTGCTTTAAACATCTGTTCAATTTGCACTTGAAAAAACAACTTTACCCGTATTAGCCTCGCCAAACGAGACTAATACTACAACGATCATGGCCGAATGTTTCTGTTTTGGGCTACGGCAGTAAGTGAATACGTGTTTGCAGACTCACTTTCAGGGTTTAAGGAGAGTGGGCTTGAGTACTATTTCCCAGCTGGCTCCCAGCAGACTCTCTCGCCTGGGGAGAGCGGTTACCCTGCAAGGATCCTGCACTGCCAGCTAAAAACGTGCGGGCCAGTGACAGGGCCGGGGGCTTAAATGAGAGGCCAGTGCCAGGAATGTACAGGCAGGTTTATTTTGTCAAGCACAGTGATCTGTTTTTCTAGGATTCCTATTATACCTAATGAACACAAACATACCAACCGAAGGGGACAGGATGCCTGGAAAACAAGGGTGGGTTCACTTCTCTTTATCTTTCTCATAGTTTTACCCCTGTTTCAGGCTTCACGGTCTAACCAAGGACATACTGTAAGTCCGGTTAGGAATAACCCCAACAACTGGCTGTTAGAAGCCCACAAGGAAAGCTGGTGTGTTGTTTAGAACATTTGTACCTGCCTTGTACCCCCAGTCAGAGTTGACCAGCTGGGCCGTGTACCATGTGCTACCTATTAGCTTAGTTGTTATTGCTGCTCCCTATAAAGTTTTCACAAGAAATTAGCTGTGGCCCTGTTACAGGTTGTTAGGCACAGCCATGGGGGAAATGTGGTGCTGAAGAGCAATGCCAGCTTTGAGGAAGTGCCTTCAGTAAGCGGACACGCTGGAGTCGAGATTTCAGAGCTGATGGATACGATACTGAGGAAACGGCAACTGGAAGTTTAGTGGAGTAAAGGTTAGGGTGAAAAAGATGGAGCAGTTTCTAGTTAGATAAGGTTGTCCATTTGTTCATGGAAAGTCAATAGGTAGATATATAATAATATAAAAACAATAAAAAAAAACAACAAAAAGTACACCATATGCAGTACAATGCCAGTTTTTCTATTTCTAATGTCATGTAAAACATAATCAAATGTTTTTTCGGTTCGCTTTGATGCGAAACAGAGGGAAGCAGTAAAACCTTGTATTGTTTATGCACGATCCAACAATGCTGGGACACTCAGTGACATTTTTTCTGCTTGATTTATGGCTTGAACAGTTGAGTTAAGGTTGAGCTTTACTTCCCCAAATTGAAATCAGACTCAAAAAGTTAAAATATCAATAGAAAAGAAGTCTCCACCAGGGATAAATCAGTGATCAGAGCCATTGTCGATTTCAGCACTATTTTATTTTTATTCCAGGAGCTAATCCAGCCCAGCACAAGAAAAGCATTTGAGATCTGATTTAGGACATCAGGTTCATATTGGTATGTCTCATCCCGCTTTAGAAGCCCATGGAAGCCAAGTTGCCCTTCAGGTTTTTGTAACGCATATCAGGTTCTATGACAATCACATGCTATCAAGTTAGTTAAATAACCGTACACGACCATATGTAGGCAGTACATCTCTCTTTTGTTGTCTGCACAGATGGTAAATGTGATGTACTTTGTCCCTCTTTAAACAGGGACACAGAAAGTAAATAACAGGTGGTTGGAAAAATACTTTTTCGGGACTTTATTAAGCACTGAATCAAGTTCTACTTTTGTTTATTATCTGTGCAGCCGGTTTGATGCATATTTACAGTACATGTTCGATTCAGATTTAAAATGTAACACAACTAATCCCATCACAACATGATGTCTGGGCTTTATTTATTTGTTTGTATTCAGGACTGTTTGCCATTCCGATTGCTTTTATTGACTTCATCTGCTTACAGTTTCGCCTTACAGCATACCACGAAATATTTCAATGTTATAACGACACTATCCCTAGATACAGAAGAACAAATCAAGGAATAGACTGTCGCTTGTCCAACTGATGCTGGGAAGATTTTGGAAAGATTCCCTTCAAATAAAACTCAAGACGAGCAAACAAGAAAAAGAGAGATGATAAACGACATGTGAGAGAACCTTGGACAAGTCCACAAAGAAAACAAGATAAATTCAGGGAGGAAGGAGAAGAAAGAGAAATATGTAGAAATATATTTGTGTTCTGGGATTTAGAGACTTTATTTTATTTTATTTTTTTCGCTCTGTCTAGTCCACGGTTTAAGATTAGAGTTAGGATCGATATTAGGTTTGGAGCAGAGGTTGATATCTTAAGCGGTGATATACTGTGTTTGGGACTGTATTGGATTTTATGGACCAAAACCACGTCATTGTAGTTTTACATGTCCTGCCTCAGACGTGTCTGGAGTGCTAACAAGAACAGATGAGACAGCCCTTGTTCTGTGATTGACTGTGATGAAAGTGATGCATTTTAGCTTTTTACTGTGACATGAAAAATGGGAAAATGTGTTTTTACAGCCTGATAGTGCTCCATAATGTTTTGCTTAAAATGATGTGTTAGCTTCAGTAAAAGTATATTAAAGGTTATGAAAATTAGTCGCCAGACAGCAAGCACCGCAGTGTACAATGCATTTCTTTTGGCAGCCCTAGTTAGCTTCGGGTAGTTTTCTGTTTATACACAGACGTCTTCTGTTGGGGTAACAGTGGGTCTAGTTCTTTGGCTTTGTAAGCCACGCACACTGCCACAAGAGGCGCCATTAAGTACGTGGTTCCTGTGGGAATCGAACCTAGGACCCTCTCTGTGTAAGGCAGGTGTAACTAAGGTCATTAGCCAAGGTCAGGATTTGAACCCAAAGTCCTCCAGTTAACTTTGACCACTAGGCCACAGAAGAATCGGCATAAAATTGCAATCTATGTCCTCAGAATATTTTCATGAACATTGCATTATGGTTTACATTATTTGGCAGTATACAGTATGACTCAGATCCTAAAATGTTTTTTTTTTTATCCACCCATACTAAACTAAATCATGTTTAATTTCCACTAAAAGTGCAGATGGCTGTCCTACAGGCACGGTAATGTACTCCTCATGTTTACATTTTTAATTAGATTTAAAGTTTTGCTTTTCAGCTCCTTTGACATGCCTTACATTTTCAGCAGGTGATCCATTAACAGGAGGGAAAAAAAACACCGGGGCTGACACTAGAGAAATGGGAAATATCTGTTTAGGCAGGAGTCCGAACAAGAAGAAGAATAGAAACAAGTTCACAGAAGCAGGGAGAAGATGAAGTGTATGTTGTATCTGTGTGTAATGTTTACGCGGCTCGGCTTATCTGTCAGCAAATCCCAGGCTCTGAAACCTAGATATGTCTCCTCCTCTCATCTGCTCCCAGTTAGCAACATCTTGAACACTGTACTGCTCCGTGCTCCAATGTCATAAAACACACCGCTCCTCTTCTCACCGTACTCTTCTCTTCTTTGTCTGGCACATGAGATGGAAGATGCTCCCCCCAGCCTGCCCCCTGCTCCCTGTCCCACTAAGCCTGCGTCCAGCTGCTTTTTGGTTCAGACACGGAGCGGTTTAACAGTTTGAAAAATGAAGGTGTCCATGGCATCATTCCGGTCTGTGATCCATCTATTTTTTTAATGTCTGCTTGCGAACCTGTGAAATTTCGGAGGCACCTGAGAACTTCATCACTCTGCGCCTGTAGTGGAAGGATTTGTGTAGCATCGCCTTCCTTTGGAAGTGACCTGCTGCTGAAAACAGTGGCCAGAATCATCCCTCCCCCACCTGACACCCCCCTCTGTCTCCCACCTTCACTTGTGCACCTCCCGTTCAGCGACTTCCTTTAATCAGGGAGCGGCACACGGAGGGGAGCGTGGACCTAATGGCAATTAAATCGTGTAGCTACAAGTTCAGTTCCTAAATGCTTATAAATCCATCACCCAGCATTGGTTGGAGACCCCTCATTCATAACCACCCCCCTCACAGTCTGCATTTTCTCCATACCTTTAAAAGAAAGACGTGATGGATTGAACTTCTAATAGCATGTAGTGCTTCACTCTGTTCTACTAATTTTACAGGTCAAATGCTTTGATGTCCCTAATGGTTTGATTGATGGCCTGTGCCTATTGTTTCATCTCCGACTAAAGTGCAGTTCTCTTCCTGTTCCAGAGTCTCCTGACGATCCATGACATGGTTGCCTTAAAGAGTTACGACCCTGAACTACCTCCACTACCTGATGATCTCGATGACGATGAGGACTCAGTAAAAATCATAAGACTGGTCAAAAACAAGGAGCCTCTGGTAAGTCAAATGACCATTCATTTATTCATCAACTTAAGATGGAGCCAATCCCAACAGTTTTTGTTGACCAGTCCATCATAGGCCCAGTTCAAAGTGGTCAGTTATGCTACTTCCTGCTCAAGGAGGAAGCTGGGCTATATGGAGAAAACACCTGCACACACAGGGAAAATATGCATATCTATACAGACGCCTGATCAACTTGCTATAAGGGAAGAATGCTGACCACCATGTCTCTGTGGGACCCCTGGTGGTTATCTTGGGAAATGTCAGTATGTAATTTAAACAGTTCAGCCACTCTGCTTTACCTTCAATTAACTCAAATTGACAAAAAAGTTCAATAAAAATGTTTTATCAGGTTTTCCTTTTATTTATAATAAAAATAATGTCATGCTATCGTACTACTGTCTAAAGAGTCAGAACCTGACTTCTTGAAACCTTCTTCAAACCTTCTTGAAACCTTGTATCAAAGCTCTGTGCACACCACAGGTCAAGCCAATACCATAAAAGCTTTGCTTTTGAGGTACTTCCCTGTGGGAATCCAACCCACAACCTTGAAGATGTAAGTGCACCAACGCCGACCACAATTACCCTGCTCTTGGCCATGAGTATTTTCAGCCAGTCTAGGCTTGGTGTCTGTGAACTGCTTCCTTTTCTATCCTGGTCAGTGTTGCTCTCTTATTGTAACATGCCTCTTATGTCCGTGCTCCTCAGACGTCGTCCCAGACGTGAAAAACCACCCATCTGTCTGGACCCAGGGCCCTAAGTGTGCAGGAGTGACATCTTGGCTGGTTTTCTCATTTTCTCCGCACCCCTCGACATCCTGGGCGTTAGATGAATTCCATACCATGCATTCCCCCCCGGTTTTGTCAACTAGTCAGGCACGGTTTATAGTGGGCTTCAGTAACCACATCAGACCAAACGTTTTTTCTTCATTGCCCTCCCTTTGTGTACCTGCGTTGTGTTGATCTTGGTGATTCTTCGATCTTCTTAACTGACTTCTGCGTTGACACGTCCCCATCCTTAGCTCAAATTCTTATTGTCCCATGAAAGACCCTTCATCTCTCATCATGGCACTTTTGTGTCCAGGGCCGTGGCTCCGCCCACCTTCGATCTCTGCCGGACATGCCCTGGCCTCAGCTGCCTCTATTTTCACATTGTGGTTTTCACCCTGACCACCACCTTGGCTCCAGGCCGGCGCACTCTTCTCACCACACCCCGGGGAAAGGAGAACATACCTACGCCATTTTTGGGTCCTTGCCTTTTAGCCTATATTGTGGAGCTACTGAGTGTAATAATGTGGCTTTGAGGAATGTCTTTGCTCTTTCTCACGCCACACATTGTCGCGGTTGCTTCCTGCTAAAGCCTGATCTTGGATCCCATTGCTTAAAACTATACTGGGATTCACACATCAGCTCCATTTTAAACATCCAGCTGGTGCCACTCATGTCTCTGCAGTGATGTCCTTTGTTTTTGAATGAGTTCCTGTACATACAGTGTTATGTTGAATGCATAGTATACTGCAATATTGTTGCCTAAATTTAGTTTATAGGGTATGTTGCAATGTTAATGTTGGGTTTTTTTTCTTAGTTTCCAAAAAAAAGATACTCTACTAAAAAATACTATGTCTATGTATGGATTCTATAGTTCAACCTTAGGTCAGAGCTGGTGCTACAGTTTAAAAGGTGAATTTGGATATTTATATTTGAAATGCTTGTGTTTTCACTAGCAGGATTTCTTTTGTAACAAAAACGGTCATTTGACGGGCCCTTAATTCACAGAGGCAGGCAGTAAACATACCATTGTAAGTAATTTCAGCAACATGCGGACAAGGTTTACTATAATGAAACATATACTAGAGTAGTTAGATGAAAAGGCCTCCAAATTTGATCCCATTGTCCATGAGTGGTATCATATAGCTGCCCTCACACCGCCCAAAGGATCTGCATGGCACGACTTCTGCCCATAATCTCTTGTGGCTATAATTTAGGTCTGACCGTGGTGTAAACATTTGTAAGATTTCTACTGCTGGCCATGTTTTCGTGTGTTTATGGATGGAAGAGGAAAAAAAACAACTAAAATGTTGCTTCTGTGGCAGGGAGCCATGTCCGAAATATCAGTGTGACGGTCACGTGCCTGTCCTGAATAAACAAAGTGATGGTCAAATTTAGTCACCGATTCCAACAGACTTTTTGTGCTGTGGCCTAGTTTTGGACAAATGCTCTGGACCTCAGAGACAGACTCTGCACTCGCATCGTCCATCATCCTATTTGCACACTTTTGGTCAGAGACGGATTTTTCGCTGCCTTGTGTCCACTGTATAACTAATATTTCCCAAGATAGCATTTATCATGTAGTTCTAGTTGGAATGGAACAAATAGGCTGTAATATAAACTTTCAGGCAGAAAGTGGGACATGTACAGGAGCTTGTGGGGATGTGCACCTCTATCACTGAGGCAGATGTGGTACACATCCTAAAGCTGTTTAAACAACCTTGTACGTCATTTATCCATGCAATTATTCATGATTTATTTGAATTTTTTTTTTTTTTTTGCCTTTTTTATCCTTAATTCATACGTCACACTATGTCTTTTAGTTTCTTAAACATTTAGACTCTATGGCACATTATTCATTTTTTTATTTGCAATTCCTTACCAAAAATGTGCTCAGCTGTTTTCAGTCATCTGATTTGAGCAGCTGTTCCTTTTTGAAACACTAAGATTTTTCCCTGTGGTCTCTGGAAAATGTATTTTTGTTAAGGGAAACATACCTCAATAAAGAGACTGTGCATTGGAAAATGTAAAGCAGGTCACATGCTCTGGCTGAAGTCAACCGTTCTGCTCACCAGTGCAAACCCTGTAATTTTGCAGGCTCCTCATTTGCCGCCATGCCAAATTGATTTGTGTCTGGCCCTTGACTTGCAATGTCAAATAATCAGCCTGAATATATATATATATTTTTTTTTAATTGACAACGATTATTCTGTAGAATATCTGATTTCCTTCTTGGTCTTCTTACTTTGCTCCTCAAGGGATCATGAGGTCTGATCATTTACTATCAGTTATCAATGCTTACATGTCACATTAAAGTAGGAAAATAACAGAATCTTTATAAATACTTTTTGAGCAATTTACTCCCAACTTACTTACTCAGTATTAAACCCTGGCCTTTTTAGTTGAACACAGTGTGGATATACTTGTGCAGGAATTGAAGGAAGACACAAAGTATCTTTTTAGTTAAATAACAATGTTCAAAAATTATATATGTTATCACAGTGGAGCCTAGGAACTTTTTAAACCTCCAAATGATGATAAGTTTATACCCAGGTTGACCAATGGTAAAAGAGAACATGGATGCTACAGTTCACTGGTGTTGAGCAATTCATGTTGAGTATTTTGGAGCTAAATATTAAATCAAAAATATTAATCAAAAATGTTCCTAGTATAAATAACCCCTCATGTCAGCAGTATTTTTTGGTACAGCTGGTGCAGTAGTTTGCTTTATTTGCTATTTGTAATGCGTACTTGTTAAATTACTGTCTAGTTATGCTACTAGATCTCTGCCATCGAGGAGCCGCTACGTCACCCCTAAGAATCCTGGAAAATCCCAAGGCCCCACGCAAAAATATGCTAAGCTGCAAAAGAGGGCTTTGAATGCCTGAAATTGGGTATACCACCACCACCACCACCACTGCTCGGGGTGACCGATGCAATGATGTAAAAACATCTGACTGACGAGCCTGCTGTGGTCGGCTCTGCTCCACTCATCGGAATGTTCTTGAAGCCCTGTGACGCAGATCTAAATAGCAGGCTTGGAGATGCTCGCCATGCATGCCCCACTGTGTTCTCCCTCCCTTTATACATCATTTGTCGTCTTGCTTGATGTCAGTTATTCAGTGCTGGACCTCATTACTTTGGGAGTTCTTGTACTCACTTCTCCGACTCAGTACATCTAGAGTTGTCCTCCTGCGAGCACACCATGTTTCTTTTGTATGGTTTTTCTATCAAAACTCTCCTGCTAGTACTTACTGGTCAGTATTATATGTTTGTTTTTTTTTTGTAAGTAATTATGAGTTCTTTGAAGATCCATCTTCTTTTTCTGCCATGTCTGCAGAACTACCTGTTTTTCTAAGTGTGGTATTCTTTGTAGTACAGCTGCAAAAATTCAGTAATTACAGTATGTGACAAACAGTTCTATCGTTGATTTATTAATCTGGAGTGCTTTTTGGTTATTAAATGTGATTTTTTTTTTCAGTCATTACAGTGTTAAGGTTATAAGTTGTAATTATTTAAACCTCCGTGATTTATCATCTCCTAAATTTTGTCAGTTGAAGTTGTATGGACTCACCAGGACCTCTACTGTAAACTGCTTCTGCAGGAGACACGACATTAGTAATATTAGAC